TGAGAGCAAACGTTCCGCAATTTGTCTATTGTATCGGGAACAATCAGCAGAAATGGAACAGCCTATGAAAAAGAAAAGGAAAAAAGTCTGCTGAGGCAGAATGAGCAATAAGGGGTTTAAAATTGGTGCGCTTGGAAAAATTCACAACTGTGCTTTCCATTGCTTATTCCGATTATTTTCTGCGGGTCACACTTTATTTATCGCCTAACGATACGCAAAATCCGCTAAGTACGCAATTTTAACACCCGCATTGTAATTTCTTTAGTTTTCTTCCGAATGGTGTTTTTTGTAAAGGCTTGGAATTAGTGCCGCACAGCTATTCTGTTTTACTTTCGACTTATTGGTACTTCCTACTGACTGTTTCGTAACTAGAATTTGTAACCAATGCATTCAGGTTGAATTCAATTTATACACATTGTTGAAGCGGTTGTCCGAGGCCTTTTGTTATTTATCACACATTGTTTCATCCAACATACTGGGCATAAATGAAGCTCCCAACGGTGTGATCAAAGTAGCGTGATTCGATAAAACTTATCAAGGACTTCTTCTATCAGTATAATTGACACTCAATTTCCTGGACACTTAGCGGTACACACAGGATAACTAGAAGTTCATATTTCATTATTTATGTAGTAACCGTGATAAATATCATCGAAATATTATATGATATGACTCCTCCCTGAGCTCAAATCTCAATGCCACCATCTTTGGAATGAGTAAACTTCAACTCTTTTCCATAGTGCACCGAAAATTGGCGTATTTTCTGCAAATAAAATTGTATGAAAACTTGTTTTTTGGTTCAACTTTGTCGACCTTCGGTCCATTGGCACTAAGTTCAGCAAATGAAACAAGGTATTTAAAAGAACTTCTTTACTAACCATTTATTAGTATATGGCGAACGAACTTATCAACTTCATCTGCTCTGATTTTAGATCGGTCGTATTACACTATGCAAGAGGGACTCTCTGTGCGCAACTAACTGAGGTATAAACTTCTCAAACGTCATTATACTCTCTATAAACTTACTTGTTTATACTTGTTTGCTACAATCCTACTTTTCCTGCAATCATCTTTGTCTTCCACATCAGTTGGCTCTTTGTTCAAGTACTGTTCGAACTCGTGTGAAACGAAACGGAGATACATTTCGTCACCCGGTACCATATCTGTTTATTGATGGTTTTGGGTGAAAAGCGTTTATTCCCGACTTCACGTCCAACTTCAGGGCTGATGGCTCTCTTGTTTAACCGTTTGAATCTTCTCGAGTTCGAGTGCCATGAACGTTAGAGCTCAGAGGTAAAAACTGCTTTGTGTAAAGCTATATGGAGGTTTATTCTGTGCATGTTTTGTGTTCCCTGGGGTGTTTATTCTGGTAGATACACGAATTGCTAAAATCTCATCTTATTTCATGCGATGCAAAGAAACTGAGCCGATTATTAAAACGTTTGGCCTAAATAATTAGATAAATTATGCAGCTACAAACTACTTACGAAAAATCTCATCTTTAATAAACTGAAAATATGTTCCAAAAAATGAAAAAATGATCTTCGAAAGTTAACCATAAGTTTTGTGGCTAGTTGAAATAAGCGTTTTGTTATGTCACCATACCCAAACTTAATAAAACATCAAAAAGATTTCGGCGCATAGTTTAAGTCGAGTAGCAGCAAAGAAAGTTGGATTGTTTCGTTGGCATTGAGCCCAGCGTATGAATCCAAGTAGCTTTAAAAATGTCTCGAACAGCGCTTGCTGCTTCTATCTACGCTGCAGCACGCAACAAAACCATCAACGGTAGTTCACCACCAAAGTTACAGCTTTGCGACGAACGTTGCGGAAATTATAGAGTTGTGGAATTACTCATATATAAACCTTGAACAGCGATTAAGGTATTCTTCAGTCTTTTATCATAATTCTTGACAATTTCTAGTGGTGGCTTGATAGATTAATTCATCGCTGTGCATCACGAATACCACTGCCACAGAAGTAGGATACTCCATTAGTGATAGGGGTATTTATTTGTAAATAAAAATTAAATACAACACTGTCAAAAGAAGCTTCACCTACTGGTTCTTAAAGCAGTCAAAACTGCGTGAAAACGTACCTTGCTACGAGTTTGAGAAGCAAGAGCTTGAACGGAAGGACCGCAATCATTTAATTCCACTCCTCGTTCTCTCAGGTTCAGTGAACGGTTTCTCAGTTTCTTGAAACAGTCCTGAAAAGAATTTCACACTGAAAGTAACAGACAAATACGTGTGTGCATGCAATCGCTTTTGAACAAAAGTGAGATGAATACCAACAGAAATAATGCCAACCTTGTCCTGATACACACTGCTAAAGAATGATGTAACCGTCAGAACACACTAAAAGAATCCGTGGGACAAACAACAAAACGACAAAAGCGCTATCAAATTACCAAGCGTGGGAAAGTTTCATATTTAAGCAACTATATTTACGTTTGATTTATGCAAACTCTATAAAATCTCACCTCTTCTAAGCAACATTCAGTTCTAATAGTGACGCTCTGCTTCATGCGTACTATTAATGACTTCGACATAAACTATTGATGTCCAATAGATCGCAGTGGAAGGTCAAAATAAGCGTTAGAAAAGCTTTAACTTTTGACTTTCGAAGATACATGGCTGACAGCTGTACACACAAATTGCCCCCTATACCCTGAACGGGTTTTGAGGACTTAATTACGTCGATACTACGCTTGTTTACTGTAGTTGATTGTTCATGGACAGATCACTACTAAGATTTAATTTTGTCCGTCCGAAAATCACTTGAAAATGTGGTTATTTTTGCGTGTAGGAATGGACTGAATCATGAAAACAGTTATCAAATTCTCCGCATACCTTCCGCTTTAGAATGTTTTAAGTACCGAGGAAATGGAAATTAAACTTCTCTTAGTTAAGCACAGTGAACCCCGGGCATAAAATGATGTACTAAAGGAGTTGCGGATAACAATATACGGCCAGAGAGAAAATGAACAATTGGAATCTAGTTTAAAATTTGAACTGTGTATCAGTGAACGTATTCGGCCCCAGCGCAGCAAGTGAGACCCCGTACATGCAATAACAAATTTAGCAAGTGCATAGTGCGGAACCACAAACTGTAGTATGCTAAAGGCATAAAATTACATCAACCAAGTCACTTTAATATTAAAAGTGTGGTATCAGGTTATGCTCATGTAATTCACGGGAGTCTTGGAGTTGGAATGACCACGGGGAAAATATAGGTCATATTATCGCTATTGTCGGATATCAGTCAATATATCAAGGTCATTGAATCTCCGTTTACCAGACACGCAAGTGGAGATGACATACTCCCACTGAACTTTAGAACCTCAATAGAAACCGGACAATCTAATTTAATGAAGTCGATGCTCTAAAGTATACATATTTCTTATCAGTTGAACTACTGGGAAAGCTTTAATAAAAAAATAATTTCTGACTATCACTGTGATTTCATGGTCATTTTTGAATTTTTGCACTTAATGCAAAACATACTTCAAATTCCATCACAAGTTCCACACGATATTGCTCATAGCTCGTTGGAATCTGCAATAGATTCCATTCCCTTTTTCTCGCTGTGCGTCTTCTTTTGCCCGACACGGGTTGACTAGAACGTCTACCGCTCATCTTTTCAACCGGGACTTTTCTCTGTTGCATGGGAATCATCAGTTGCACGTCCGTACTCAGGTTCCAAAAGCTTTGGCAATATTTTTTCGCGTACCGAACCACAAGTTCAACGGCATCAAAAATGGGACGGAGACGGTGAAGCATGAACTGCGTAATGTGAGTGTTCAGCTTGCGAACTGAATCAAGACTGGGTTGGACGGAGAGGAAAGAAAATAAGTGTATATCCTGAGGAACTTGAAATTCTGGAGTGTTGTCCGGTTGCAAAGATTTTAAATAATCGGAATACACATATCTTGCAAACCCTTTTATTATCTTCAACTGAAATGCATCCCTATTTACAACCAAAAGTAACTCAAAATCAAGGTGGAATACCTTCTAATTGTTTAGTCTTCAACTTAATCTCAGTAACAACCATCAATTCTAAAGTCTATTTGTTTCATACCAAAAATGGAATCTCAGCCAGTTGATCACTTTCACAACAACAATGATGTGATTTAAATTCCTCCAATACATTTTCTTCATTCAGAAGCTCAGTCAGCCTTTTTGGTTAACAAAATGCATCAAATATTGAACCAAGAATTATTCTATTAAATTGAATGTTCTAATTTCAATGTCCAAGGTATCAAAGAAGTTTTGGGATTACAAATGGTCAAACATGAGAAACAGATTAATTAACAATTCAATCAACTGAAATGCACCTTTTCGTAGACAACGTAATAACCTAATCAAAATTTGTCGAGTTCGAATAAGTCCATGCGAATCATTCGAATTTTCTGTTGGACGAAAATTGATACTTCTTTATGTTTAATAAGGTATATACTTTATGCATACCAAAATGTGAATATTTAGCATTCGAAGTAAAACCAGTTTAACAAGTACAATTACACCAGAAGTCGAATTCTCTGTTCTACATGAGTTGCTGACTGGTAACTTACATAAGTAACAATTATTGCAAGATTGTGACGCGGTCATTTGCTCACTCTACTGGTCACTTATGTGCCTCTGTACACGAATACGAGAGCAGAAACCTGGGTAACTACCGGTCGGTCATCTAAGCCAACATTTATTGTTTTCTTTTGTCTTCCCCCAGAATAGGTCCTCCAGTTTTTAGATATTACTTCTGTAGTTTTAGCAAGTTGTTTTGACCTCTCGCTGTGTATCATCTGTAATGACTTCAGTAGTGCTGACTCAGTATCCTGGCTATTCTTGGCTTGAAAGACATACCGAGCATTTGAACGAGGCTGATAGTTCGTTTGGAGATATGTTTTGTCAATAATAACAGCCGATTTTCCGTTTCTCCGCGTCCCCCCCCCTTTGGTTTTCCAAGCAGACTAATAAAACCTCCTCGGTAGTGTATAGCAAATTTAATGAACGAATTTTTACGCAGCGGTGACACATCTAAAGAAAGCAACCTCAGGTTGTCCAAAATGACCTAGAGATAAACAGGGAGATGGTTTCTCAGAAATATTTTAGTGCACTCTACTAACCTAACCCTTTCAGCTTTTATGAACACCCTATCCGATATTTTAACTTCTGATATCCCACTTGTTGCCTATGTGTGACACTAATCATTCGCTCGCGTGGCATCGCGTTTCCTCAGTGATTGTCTCTAGGTAATCTTGTTTGGCTATGACAATCGACCGATGGTTACTCAGATGTCTAGGCTCACATTCGTTTACGGAGGCAGATATGGAGCCAGTAGAGTGAGCGACTGACCACTTCATAGTCTTGCAATAGTCATTAATTATTTGAGTTACTGGTCACCAAGTAATGTAGAATAATGAGGATTGAGGCTTGGTGCCGGCGGTCTCCTTCTCACGTTGATCACATATTTGTTATATAGAAAAGAAAATACACTTAGGAAAGTACAAACCTTTGTCCGTGTCAACTTTTCAAACTCAAAAGCTATAGCGTTTCAATAAATTAGGATCGAAACGAGCACAATTTTGAAGCTATTCAGATACAAGTATATTATATTAGTGAGGCATTTTAGTATTATAGATAATGATCACACATTCCCACAATTGTCGGGTGTACTTTGATTTTAATGGGAATTGGCCTTGGTTTTAGGATTCATTGAGAGTGTTTAATGCTGAATAGACTAACAATCAATAAGAGCAATTTCAAAAGGGTGTTGCTTCAGAATTCAGTCAAATATACAACAAGCACACTTAAAATCTTCTAAACCTTTTTTACACTTTACTAAAATCGGGTTAAAAGTGCTCTTCCTTTCAGTGTATTCACTTTCAGAGCTCCGTGGTCTCGAACAATTTTTGAATTCTGCTTGGTAAGCGAAATGAGAATTTCTGCCTGTCAGTTGTTCCTCATATGATACAGTCAAATCTATTATGGATTAACTTTAAAAGACGCGTTCTTTCAGAAGTAGTTGAACTGTTAAGTTTGCCAATAACACATGCATAATAGGAAACTGATTTCACCCAAGTTTCCAGAGCAATTAATCTCGGGGCCGTTTCTGATAGAAAGCTGTACTCTATTACGTTCCGGAATGTATGTTCAAATTATCCCTATGATCACATTGCTCGTTTCTTGCTTGTTCCAAATTTTGTTTTGGACAACTTTATCATTTAATTTACTTTTCAACTATTGTTCAGGAGCAACACTTCTCACGATATAAACTAAGTATCCACTGTTTCGGATATTTAAGATATATGCTTATTCACCGAGTTTCAGCAGCGGTGGTAAAAATAAACCCCTTTAAAGAGTTTATCAAAATAACGTCAAACTCATACCAAAAATATATCCATTAAAACTTGTACATGTTTGCCACTAAACCAATTCTTGTACTTTGATATAATGCAAATTAAAGCTGAACCACCTAAGCTTACGGATGTGCACAACGCAACAACTGCTAGAAATGACCGTTTTAATCACCTTTGTAGTCTTCAGAGAAATAATGCGGCTTGCTTGAGAATCTTGCCCGAAAACGTTCAGTAACTTATCACAGGTGCATAAATGATATAAAGATATAATGACTAAATAGGTTTCACTTGTTTTCTAAAAGGGATCCTTGAAATTAACACCTGGGCTCGAATACTTTAAAACCCTCCTATTCGTAAACATCAAGAATGGTTAGAGTCACCATTCAGGGGTTGTAAAGCAATAAATTTACTATCACAAAGGATTATCATTGAGGGGTATTCTCAAACCGATACAGATCAGAACTAAAAGTTGTTGAGTATAAACAAAAAACCCTTTTGTAGATGAAATTGATTTTTTTTCCATATGCCTTTACAGATGAGCTCATTGACCAGAATGGATGATTAAAAATGCACACTTCGTTTCTAAACTCGGACACAGTGCTTTCATTCTGTGAACGTGAATTTTGTTTGATTTCCTATATGATTCACATAAAAGTATTCTTGTTAGTTAGGCTGAAATAAAATGTTGCATTCACTAGACGTTCCAATCGTATTATCAAGTAATGAGACTGAGAAAAAACAAGAATCTTTATTGCTTACCTATCTGCAATGTCCAGTGCATGAGACCCCGCACTGGCAGCCTCAAAGCACAACGCCTCAACTTCCGAGCTGCTCTTTAAAACAAATCCACCAAAGAGAACATCGACAGTGTCAGATGCCGGACTCTGGTCTTGTTTAGGGATGTTCATTGACAATCGACGCAAGTGGTTCATTGCGTCCAGGATATACTCGCGTTGATCTTGATGGTCTGGTCCGATGTATGTTGATTCCAAGTTATCCAGGCATAAATTGATCAGACTTGTAATTTTCTGGATGGTGCAATGAACTGTGTCCAGACTATCCACACGAGCACCGTCGCACATGTTGATAATCCTCGCTGGAAGTGTGGAGGCACAATCGGTTGCCTGAGCCACAGTACCCTCGTCGTACTCTTCCTCCGAGATCGCGATCATATTCCCGTAGGTTTTGTGGTATTCAGAACAGACAAATCGATGGTTTGAAATTGTTCACTAGCAGTGTGTCGAGCACATTGCCTAAGGCGAAATCACATCAGGAAGGTTCGGGAAAAAGGGAAAATAAATATGAGCAGTAATTTTGGATATTTTTGAAGAATCGAATGTTAAATCCAGTATTCTCTTACTTTTATACGACTATTGTGAAACTGATTCGCCAGTATATGGCAGCTAGCGTGGATTATGGTGTTCAAACATAATTCGCAAAACCTGTGCCAGTTTTTGGTTAACTCTAACAACTCATACACGCACTCTCTGTCATCGCTTCTGTCGTAATGCTTTCAATTTTTGAACCAAAGCACTCAGATGTTACGTTTACCAATGCGGCATAGGCAGTTTGAACATTTTCTACTTGCAGGATCCAAACATTGTATCATTCACTAAACACTCCCTTTGTTACAACTGTTTTCTCTGTTTGGGGAAAAAGAACTAAGGCGTTTGATAACGTGATTCTTCGTGTGACCTATTGCGAAAATCCACTGATGGAACCTTTTGGCAAACTGATTGCCATTGATCATTTTTCATGCTCAATCTCCCAGCCAAATCGCACGTCCAACCAGTCAATCGTTGGTTTCTGGAGCACCTTGTAAGGATTGTAGTAGTAGTAGTAGTAGTAGTAGTAGTAGTAGTACGCACGGAATCTGAAACATGAACCAGGTAATAGGAATCACAGGACACGAATCTAGGATAGACTATCACGGACTGGTTTACGGAAGCACTGGACCACAATGGCACGAGCTCGCAATATCCCACGTGACTGAGACGCACAGAAAAGCCACAAAAATGGTAGCTCGCAGTTCGTTTATTGGAAGAAATGAAGGCGATTAAATAATATATACAAAAGAAGATCATTGGTTATCTACGCTTCCACTGATTATATTGCAGTATTGCTTGCATGATTCTGCTTCTGTCTGCACTGTCTCGGATTGGCTGGCATAGACTGCCTATGGCGTGTAGTCAGAAGCCGTACGCGCGTCATCTTTGAAATTTGATGGATTGCAGGTGTCCAGAAACTGTAACGCACCGCTCCAGAGTAAACGTCATCACGTAGGCCTGAATCACCACAACATTATTCCAATATCGCCTTTGTGAACGAATACCTGATCCCGTTTTCTCCTTCTGATCTGTTTTGGGCTTACAATGTACACAGCGTCTATCGGAACGATAGATGAGCAAGATGAATGGATTGTTCTATCGTGTGCTTCTTGGCAATGTGGTAGAGCAAACAAACTAGCTTTTAATGTGAGGTGTCCGAATACGCAAGATACGACAATTTCGAGGGAAGCATAAAACTATATTTTCTTTTGTTTATTACTACATTTCTCCTGTCATACTTTATTGATCGCCCGTTTTTCTCTGGGATCATTTAGAAAGTATTTCATTACTCCTTCGCGATTTAGGACTAAGCAGTCGTGTTTTCCTTATTCCTTTAAACACTATAATCGTGTGATTGTCTTATCATTCCATGTGAGAACTTCACTCATCGGCTGAATCCCGATTAATCTGCTTGCATTTCCCAGGCTACAACCAGATTGAATGCTTCGCTGCCTACCCTTCCGCATAAACATTTCGTGCAACTCAACGGTTCCCTATATGGCTTGCATTCTCACCGGCACGGAGAACCTTCAAAGAGGAACACCTCTTTGGGTTTTATCAACGTTGTACATAATATTTAATTTAATTTGTTAATTTGGCACAGCTGCCTGCACAAATCATTTGTAATACAAATAATACAAATCCAATACAAGTTTGAACCCCTGATGGGCTGATAAGTTGAAACAAGAGCGTCGTACTCCATGTTTTGTAGTGGTAATTGACTGAATGGTCTAGTGGATGAACTGACGTATATGTGTGAATGCATTATTCGACGAATAATACAATATGGTAAATTGCGTCTATTCTTTATCGCCAATAAAAGCGAATAAAGGTTGAAGCTGAAAAGTAAAGTAAATGTCAGTTATTATTAACCAAACATTCATTCTCGAAAATGCAATCATAGTGTCTATTTTTGTGTCTGTTTACATTCTGAGTGAGCCAACGAAGTTCTTATTGAAAGTTCAATGAAACGGTCAAAATCGGCACTCGTTCGTGGATTGCTGCTGCCCTTCAAGTGATAGGCAACTATTTGATATAAGCTTTGGATGATCGATAATGATCAGGGGAGTCAGTTTGCGATAAATATGATTGGCATGTGCTGTGACCACCTTTGTCGCTCTGACTAATTATCACCGGAATCATTCAGTAAAAATATCTGGAGAATAAACTTTTGACTATAGTAGTATTAAGAACCTATCCCACCATAGGAATCCATATTTCGAAACCCAGATAGATCATCTGACATGCCCTTATAATGAGTCCGAATAAGAACAACATTTGGATCTGTTACTTTCCGAATGACTAGTGAACAATTTAAATTTATGGTTATGCCACAAGATGAAGTTGGAATGAGGGTCAGCCGAAACCAAAACGATTACCGGATGATTACAGCAGTTCAATTCACAACCCCATTAATAATCATACAATAATCATACAACAACTTGTATACTCAATACACGATATCAAGTCTGACAAACCTTGTGAATGTTCATCCGAAACCACCAAGCACACCAACGGGAGTAATAAATAATTTATCAATGTGTTGTATATGAAGTCGTGAAATATTGCCCTATTTAATCGTTTTCAAGTGTCCATATATCGTGCACTGCTATACCTCATTGAGAGGAGATAAAATACTATTACCATGATCAACCCAGACCGATAGTTGATGCAGTTCCTACACTAATATCCATTGGAAGCAATCTATTGTCTTTAAATAAATGATAATGAAGCATTGAGCTGCAGGACGATGAAAAACGAAATGTTCTCAAATTCGATCGTGATCGTGATTGATTTGTTCGACCAAAACAGTAATCGTTCAAATTGTTGTTTGGCAGATTTGAAGTTTGTACGGCGATCAGTGCTATCAGTGTTGCTTCGTAGCTCAGCTAGTAGAGCGTGCACGTACAAAACGTAGGCGGCGTCCATGTGTGGGTTCAAATCCCACCGAGGCTACTGAACTTTTCACAATCACCATACAAAATAGTAATCGTCACCGCAGTTTTAAATGAACCAGTAGACAATATACGAAACCAAATCGGTCCCTCGGTTGTGCTTGTATTTATCCAAAGAAAGTACCCGTGTTGGTGGATATCAAAAGAAGTTATGCTGTGGGAAGTGGTGGACCCCGATTCGATGCAGACTGTCTTTTAGAGCTGATTGGGAGCATATGTTTCTCGCTCTCTGAAGCAGAATTATACTAATACCCCTGTGTACGAAATGAAATTAAAAAATAGAAAAGTGAAATTATTGTCCATCCCACTTAATCTTCCCCCGAACAGTTCGTTGTAATGTAAATGGATTTGATTTCTTAGTTTGATATCTAGAATTTTAGATAACTGCCTTTCTCCGCTTCAAAAGCAACTGATAAAAGGGCATGAAAAGTACTAGACATTTGAAAATAATTTGCTTCCCTACAGCTCAAAAATATCAACTGCTCAAGGTTTATTTAATGCCGTCACTGAGATAATATCAATGAAGTTACATTACATTGCGAACAAATGATCCGGTAATTATTCACTGAAAGGACCAGTCACATTGCTAGATTGTCAAATTGTCTTCGTAGAGTCCCTTTTAACATGAGACGCATAATTTGAGCACACGCAATGATTGGACCATCTAACTGTGGGAGAGATTTAGGCAAATGTTCAATCATTGATGAATAGATTTGCATAATTACCATACTGTATTAGTGTACGAGGCATTTAAGAAAGGATCGCTTTGTGTTTTGCAACCACTTGGTTATTCATGCAATTATACTGAGCCAGACTCAGTAGCATCTTACATACCCGGAAGAAACTTTTCTGCGAAAGTTAACTACCGAGTGCTGTTATGAAATCCTGTTAGTTCTTGCCTCACGGCAAGGAACGTTTTGATCACAGTTCTAAATTCTATCTATTTTAACGGCAACCGTCTTATTTTCTGAAATGCTTTTTTAATATGCATGTCGAATAATATCCAACAGTAAATGATAAACCAGTACAACGTTTGAAAGTAAATGAGCAATATATAGCAGCACTAAGAACACTTGGGAGACACATGGCCATAATTTCATTGTAACAACTGAAGGTGAATGCCCATTCACCTTGTATAATCTGCATGTGTGCGTGGATCAAAGTGGTTTGTTTTATCTCTTACTATTCCTCAAAACAGAATTATTGATCAGATAACTTTAAGATCCATACTAATTTACTATCCCGTTTGAGTTTGGCAGTGATCCGCGAAGTTCGGTTTACTGATCTACTGAGCCCAATGATGATCTGAATTCATCCACTAGATTCCATTTGTCATATTTTCGGATAATTGTGAACCCCGAAACAAAATAGTCCCCCCACCCCCCCGCCCCCACGCTTCCCGAACCCTCATCCAACGGGCAATAAATGAATTTATACCACAACAAACTCCGACCTACTTGCCACTGATCTTCATTTGTACCACTTAGGTTTGAAATATAATATTCAACAAAGTTGCTTAAAATATTGCCATTTACATTAATCACTGTGTGTCAATGTAATCAAATATAAGTGTATTGCATTAACTTGTCGACAGACTCCATGCAATTGCTGTTTCGTTGTACACACATAAACGGTTATGATTTCAAAATGAAATGAAACAATCTATGAAAATGCACTTTGGGAATAAAATGAGGTCAAACTGTACATTAACCTAATATACCGCATCCGTATTTCGTTGGATAAATTTAAAAATGTGGTAACTCACATTTGTATTGGGGGCAAGTTTCTGTATCTGAAGGCGAAATGATTCGATGGCCACAAATTACACTGGTTGATATTTCAGAGAGATCGCGCTATATCTGAGTCCAACTACGAACAACCAGGTTCTGT